TCACAAAAGCGCACCGGAATGCTAAGAGCACCCCTGGGTGCTGCAATAAATGCCTTTAAGCCATTGTTAGGGAGATAATAGTTGTGTTTTCTCCTCCCCTCTCCTCTTGAAATGGAGACACATCTGTGGCGTTGGGATGAAGTGAGGAAGTTATGAATAGGTCACTGTTTCTGACCTCACGTAACTTTGTTTGTTTCACTTTAAGGTTTAAGATTTTTACAGTTTAAATGTAAAACTTGAACTGCTTCTTGTCAAATCTGACTCTTTGTCTTTGTTTTTTTATCCTGTTTCAATTTGTATTCTGTGGACTTACTTGTTTATCTCATGTCAAAATTGTATTTCTTAAAAATAAATCATTAATGTCATCAATGTCCCAACAACTTGGTCACAACAACTTTTTCTATCACACTCTAAAAGAACAATGCACTGGTTCAACTTAAACACATTAATGTAACAATTTAAGTACTTCCATTTCTGCCTTTACTTAGTCAGTCCTCTTTTATAACATGACAAACTCAATTAGTTTAGTACAACCTACATGATTTGCTTTGCCTTCGATAAGCTTAAGTTGAACCAACTTAATATTGATCCAAAAGTTGTGTTGATATTTAGTGATCAAACTATTTTATGTAAAATATTTCAACTTATCTAATTTTATGCCATTCTACTTTTAAAAATGTCAAAAATGTCACAGACTGTTTCTGTCCTTATTTGCTCCAGAATATATATTTTTTGAATTAATCATGACAGTTAAAATGTAGTGTCAAATATCCGCCCAGTCGCCAGAAGAAAATATTGGCATTGCTCCTTTCTATACATTATGGGTACATTACATTTGCTTAAAACATAGCACTCTTAAATACTTGATTCTGATTGGTCAATCAACAAAATTCTGCGGTCTTTATTTCTTGAGGTATCACCGTTGCGCTGCTGCTCCGTTGCTCGGGACGCCATAGCAACGGCCTTAGACTGAGGAGCATCAAAATCAGTTAACATTAGTCCACACAGGCCAAATAGGATCGGAGTGGCAAAATGCAGCATTTTCAGGGCATCACTTTTAACGTTTTTGGAGAGGACACAACGCTTGATGTTTGACATTTCTTTTTGCGAATTTTGAATCAATAAAACGTGCTTTAATCATTATTTTGTGTCACATCACTGAATGTTTTAGTAGTAAGCCATGTTCTAAGCAGGATAATGTATAGTGAGCCAGTGACAGTTGAAAAATAACTCCCGACAGGGGAATGGAACACAATATTTCATATGTATCACATCAGTGTTGCTTAAATGACGTAGCATATGAGCTGACTTTGGCAGGAGGTGGAGGGGATGGTGGGTTACGTGACACCTAGACGCGATGCCTGCCAAGCTACAGATCACTGTTCGAAACCAACAAACACAACAAGTCATCACTGTGTTTCCAGCAGCTTCTTAGCTTCTAAATGTGGGTGTTTTTCTTAGCAACCTGTTGCTGTGTCTCCAGCTGGGATAGTGCCACTAATAGTGATGTTTTTTACTGACACATTGGGCTTCTTTGCCACCAAAAAGTGTTTTTTTAAGCAACCTGTTGCTGTGTTTCTACTGGGTACAGTGCCAGGAAGTGCAGTTGTTTTTAATAAGACATTGCAGCATTTCCAGCAACTTTTTAGCCACCATACATGGGTGTTTTTAGCGACCTTTTGCTGCATTTCCAGCAGGGATTGTGCCACCCAAATTGGGCATTTAAACCCAAAACATGACGACGACAAGTGGTTTTTGTGCCTAACATAACCACACCTTCACCACAGCATTGTTAAGTTTCAACAACACGTTCTCATCCCAAGTCATCACACATTGCCGCTTTGTCAGTGGCCTTTCACGTCCACATATTATGTGTTAGGTATCCATCTACGTCTGCTGTTGATGTTACAGGACGCCTACCAAGCTGGGATGTCAACGAAAGCACGTGGCTGGGTTTAGAAGAAAAAAAACTTGGTTTGGCTTTCAGGAACAAACACTGCACTCCCTGGTGAAAGTCCTGGGGTTGTTGGACCCATCCACCACCAATCCCACCCACCTATAAGGACTGTCCAGCTGCTTATATTATGTTGTTACCGGTAGTGTTTCAACCTCATGCTGTCCAGCGGGGTATCACAGCAGCAACTGGCGCCATCCAGCCACTGGCGGCATCTCATAACAGGCGGAAAGTTACATCCAGCCACATTACATGCTGATGCAAAAGGTAGCTTTCAGCAAAAGGTGTCTGACAAAGTGGCAGCATTCGATGACTTCAGAAGAGGTTTCAACATATTCACTAAATAATAATATGCAAGTGTAACGTATGTTTTCAGAAACCAATGCAAACCTTTTTTTTGGCAACTGGGTTGGTTATACTATCCTTATCAAGAGACCAGTATCTTTAGCTGCACAGTGAAGAGCTGCTTCTAACTGTTGCAGTTGGCAGACTGAAAATATTCAGGAGGGAAACTGATTATGTAACCTCTGAGATTTGGGAGAAATGGAACAGGAGAGCCTTTTCTTCTGGCAAAAACAGCACAGAAGACACGCACATCCCAGCGTCCAATGTGGGGGTGCTGGACCAAAGGAACATCTGGCAGGGTAGAAAACCTATAAGTCTGCACACCAAGCAGCTCCAGCTTAGAAGAAAAAGGTGCACGGTGACATTTTCAATCACTCTTCCTCAGACTTCTAATAAATGACAGGAAGTCGCCATCTTAAATTCCAATGTGACATGCCACACCTGTTGCCCATATATGAAAACAAACAAAGAAAATATATACATGTAGATGTGTACCCCGATATCATACCAGGACTACTACAAAGTTACCTCTCATCCCGTACATTCTCTGTCTCCATCATTTCTTCATCACCTCATCCTGCCCCCCCCTCCTGACTGTCCTGCAGAAACAAAGCTCAGGGTCAGAGAGGGTCAAGCCTACTGGTGACATCTGCTAATTGTCCTGGTGGGCCGGCCTCTCTTGTCCTTTCAATACCAGCAGCTCTGTAGGTGTCTGTAGCTGGGAGCACACTGGCAGCTGCCACCTTCAAGAGCTCCCTCCACAGGATCACTTACCACTCCTCGACTCTGAACCCCCCACGGACCCTCCTTTACTCTAAGAGGAACAGCCTCTCTGGGTATTAGGAAACTATGAGCAATAATGTGGATTTAAAGATGGGACTGTTATCTGAATTGTAAAGTTAATGAAGCAGTTGGAGGAAGATCAAACTGTGGATTCTGCCAATTAAACATAAACACATGTAAAGTGGCAGTGATGGAACGTAACTAAATACATTTACTCAAACATGTACAATTTAGGATACTTGAAATTTGCTTGAGGATTTCCATTCAATGCTACTTTATAATCCTACTGCACAACATTTATTTCACACCTGTTGCTACTTTACAGATTTAAAGTGAGAAAAATGTTCTTATTCCACTCTGTTTGACAGCATCATACATATTCTATATCAGCTTGTTCCAGCACTTAATTGAAGCCATATGGTTTTATACCTGCACATGGAAATATTCTTCTGCATCATTCTTTAAACAAAATGCAGCCTGGCATATTTTATGTCTTTGAAAACTTAAAGATCTGCTCTATAATATAAAATAAAGTTTTGTGTGTTGGAGCAAAGTTTGGCTGCACAGCAGGAGTTTCTGACGGGACAATGGGAGTGAAGAGGTGCAGCAACATTTATTTGTTTAAAGAAAGTTGAAATAAAATGTAATGTATATTGTTCTCTTCAGCTCTGTATCTTTTTCACCTGCCTGAACAGAATAACTCCACAGTCACGTAAAGACATTAACTCACTCTGAGCTTTGATATCAGCAACATAATTTAATATTTTGTGTAGCACTTAAAGATTATTCTTACTGTATTACAATAGCATAATAATAATTATAATATATGAATTAATTTTTCTGTATTTTTGTTTTATTTTAGTTTTATTTGTTTATGATCCTCCTATTGTATTTTGTACTTTATTTATCTTTTATTAATTTAATTTAATTTAATAAAATCTAATAAAACAAAATTAAATCAATAAAATAAAGTACAATAAATACAACAGAGGGATCATAAACAAAAAAAACTAAAATATTATAATTATCATTATTTTGCCAATAATATCTTTGATTAATAAATTGTTGTCCACACTGTCTCCATGCAGTCCCAAGCTCATGGTAGTCATTTGTTAAATTACCTAAAATAAAACAATAGCAGAAAATCCTCTCATGTGAGAAACAGAAAATATTTTGCATTTTTGCTGGATGAATGAGAAATAATAAACAAAATTAGTCGGTAAATTTTCTTTTAACTCATACATTAATTGAAGTTTTTAATTCAGTTTTTCACACTTTTAGGCTGTCTGATATTCCTGACATGTCTCATCTGCAGCAGCAGGCCTGAGGTGGCTGCAGTGATCAGATGTCCTGCAGCAGCTCTCATAAAGTTGTTAGCTGGCTTCTAATTAAACCGAGTGTTGCTTTGTGGGAATGTTACTCTCACCAGGACAAACGGGCTCTATGGAAACTGAGACACAAGAGAGAAAAGGCTCAAACTCTCCCTTTGATGAGTCCATCAATTAGCATCACAAGCAGCCTTCACGTGTCCTACCAGCGTAAAATCCCACATTTGCAAATACTGACAAGCCACACCACAATGAGGAACACGGAGGGAAAGAAAGGGGGCACATTTTAACCAGATGCCCGGCAATAAATAACAGGCTCAGTGCCCCTCCAGCTGAGAGCGCGCATTTACATTTTCAAGTGCCCACACGGGGGTCCCACGGGGCCGGAGCGTGTCTGCGTTACGCACAGGAAAGACATGGGCTGCGATTGTTCCTGCAATAAGCATGGCTTCATTTGGGTAACTTTTTGAATGAAATGTAAATGTGGAGGAGCTCCGGTGGCGTGTGCACAGGGTGTATAGCTATATAAACCCCAGAGGAGCTCAGGCACACACACACACTGCGTCCTGATCGCTCCACAGAGAGCTGAAATGCAGCCGGTTGCAGCCAAATTGCCGCTCACCCACAGGACACCTTTTTCTGTGGAGGATATTTTGGATCCCACAAAGTTTACAAGGAGAATAATCTGTGCTGAGGATGCAGCAACAGCAGGTGAGACACTCTTTGAGGCCTAAGAAACCTGCACAACTTTATTCTTTACGAGCCAGAAAATGTAATCATGACTTTCTGTTCCCAGATGAACCCAGAGAGCAGCAGCATCCCCCGGCAGGTGAAAGCACCCAGGAGAAGAAGGCAGCTCAGAGCTCCAAGACGAAAAGCCGTCGGATCCGCACCGCCTTCACCCTGGAGCAGTTGCAGATCCTGGAGCGCAGCTTCCACAGGTGCCACTACCTGTCGGTGCTGGAGCGGCACACCATCGCCTCGGCCCTGCGCCTCTCCGAGACCCAGGTCAAGATCTGGTTCCAGAACAGACGCACCAAGTGGAAGAAGGAGCAGCTGCAGGGGAAGGACGCAGAAGGGGAGCACGGCTTCTCTTCATCATCCTCCTTCTCCTCACATCCGGCTGTCTGCTCATCTCTGACCTACAGCCCGCTGTACTGCCAGCCGCGCGCTCCGCTGCAGCTGTTTGCGCCACTGCCGCTGCTGCCTTATCATCATTACTACACATCATGAGTGACTGAGCACATAACGGACCCACATGTCAACATTTCCAGGGAAGAAGTTCTGCAAAATATGGCACTATTATCACTATTCAGGAGAGCTGTTTCAGTGCCAAACTGGACTGAGTTTAAAATATTTTCTAATGTAATTACGCTATAACTTATTTTCATAAACATTTTTATTAAATTGTTCATGTTTGTCAGCTGTTTATTAAAATATATTGACTCACTGACCTTCACGCGGTGCCATGAAAGAGTCAAAGATTTTTAAAATCAACTTGTTGGAACAAATTTTAGGTAGTATTTTTTTACTGTAATTATTTCCATTATATATTTATATTTCGTGTTTATGCACCAAAACACAAATGTCTTGTAAACCTACCTGGCAATAAACCAGATCCTGATACATTTGCATACATCCCTTAAGAAATATAATCAATTAAAGCTATTTATTTTTTTATATAAACACCTCCTGAACTGTGTTTTTTCATTTGTTGCTTCAAGATAATGTGCAAGTGTGAGGCTAATGGTCTAGAGGGGCAAAATGACCCTGATGGTCTGTGAGTCAGTACTAAAGTGGATTGAAAAGAGGAGAAGTCAGGGTGTCAAACCGCATCATGTCATTGGGGTCATTGCATGAGAACAGCCTGTTAGGGTACAACACATATGCACAATAAAATCTGGTCTGCACTTGTTGAAAGGCTGACAGTATAGCTGGCACATGATCATACAACATGTGGATGATTGATTGGTTTCATATAAGTGTCCACAGCAGGCCTTGGGTCTTAACATAGGTTATTTAATATGGAAAAATATCTTAGTTTAGCATGTTAGCATGCTAGCTAATAGGCTAAACATTAAAGGTCCAGTGAGTAGGATGTAGTGCCATCTTGTGGTGAGGTTGCAGAATGTAACCAACTACAATTTCTGTGTGCAAAGCGTGCTGAAGAACTATGGTGGCCAAAGAAATGCAAATTGCCCTATTTAGAGTGAGTAGCCCCTTTTCTGTGAATGTTGGGCCGATTTACCGGCCAGCTGCGAGCGTTTATACACACAGAGGCAGAAAGGCGAGCTGATCCAAGGCGCCCAATTTTCCACCTCGTAGGGTAGGAATATTAGCAGAACCCTTTCAGACCGGGGCTGTTGAAGACTTGTGGGAGGAGCTGTTGATGACGCCGCATGTGCAAGCCACTGGCGGTGGATAAACAGGAAACAGCTGATAGCAGGAATTAGCGAGCAGCTAGTAGCAAGAGGGAAACGTAAACCTGACAGACACTGTAAAGATGAGCAACTGGGGAGACAAGGAATTGCGCGCCCTCCTTGTCCTCGTAAACGATGAGGCCATTAACCGTCAGATGACGGGGACGGTGAAGAACGGGCCGATTTACGAGAGACTTACTACCTAGCCGTGGCTTCCCTCCCACGTCACTGTTTACGTCACGCTGAGCTACACGTTTTGTTACTTGCTCACGCCCCCCATTGCCCCGAAAAAGGCACATTCTGTATAAACAAAAGTAGGTAGGCGGCATTTTGCTGCACTCCCCGATTTTGTTTTTATACTGCCAATGCAGAAAAAAGACTGATTGGGCTTTCCTGCAAATTTGCACAATTCCTGTTTAAAAAGGGCTAGTGTTTGATTTGTTCATTCTAGACTACTGCAGAAACAACATGGCGGACTGCGTGCAAAGAGAATCATTTGGTATGTTGATAATTATAAAGAAACATACCTACTGTATTTTATTTCATTTCTGCCAATATATCCCCCTAAATCCTTAAATCCTAAACAGTGGACCTTTAATAAAGCTGAGGCTGATGGGAATTTGTTGGTATTTGGTTATAAATTTGGAACAAATTTAAATTTTGACTAAATGAAAAGTGAGGCGCAATGTTAATTTTTACAGCTATTCTAGATTTTATCTTAATCTTGGCATGAAAAATCTTTTTAGTTTTAATCATATTTTAGTAATTTTTATTCTCCATAGTTTTACTCTAGTTGTAGTCGACAAAAATTGTTAACATTTTTGTCGAGGAACATTCATGGCATTATAGTAAATACGTGTTCTACATGTTTTGATTTTTTTTTAATCTTTAAACTGGTGTCCTCTCCCAGAGTTGGTGATTCAAACTAAACTTTCATCTCTGTCACAGAAAACTGATCTGAGTTCAGACTGTTTATTTCCAGCACAGCTACACTCACAGATAACTGAGCCTCCTACCTCCCTGCCAAACACCATCAACCCAGAAACCTTCCTGAGACAGTCCAGACTGAGTGGAGTCCTGCGGGGATCAGTTGTGTTCAACTGTTCACAACAAGTTCACGGCCACTTAGCAGCAAATAATATGTTGTAAAATAAAAATGAAGCTCATTGAACCCTTTTCTAAACCTAGGAGGAACTTTCTCCTCAAGGCCCTTAACAACCTGGCTCTGCCCCATCTCTCTGACCTCCTCCAACACCACTTCCCACTCCAATGTCTTCGCTCTGCTGATGCCAAACTCCTCCAAATCCCCAGGACCTTGTGCCAAACCTGGGGTGACAGAGCGTTTTCAGTCACTGCAGCCTCTCTTTGCAACTCACTTTCAACCCACATCTAAAAACATCCCCACACTGTCAGCACTCAAAAAGGCCCTCAAAACCCACCTCTTCAGACCTTGCCCTCCCCAGCTAACACACCCCACCCCCATGTTTATATTCCCGAGTGGACTGAATTCAATTATAATCTTTCATTTTATTTTATTGTGTCTAATTGAGATCACTGTTTCATTTCTGTATAGTGTACTCGCTGCTACTCAAATGCTTCGTAAGTCCGACATATTATTCTCCTGGCTTCAGATCAATTTAAGCACTATCAAAATGTGTGTGTGTGTGTGTGTGTGTGTGTGTGTGAACAGATGGTCTGAAGTGGACATCCTGATTCTTTCTTGGCCAAGTTAAACTCATTCTGTACTAAGAGTATTTTTAAAGACAAGCAGACACACACAAAATAAGTCTTTCTAACACACACACACACACACACACACACACACACACACACACACACACACACTCACTCTTTCTCGAGCACATCTGCTTGTAATTTACTGCAGACTCTCATCCTCAGATGTCGGGGGGGTTCTGAACTCTCCTAAACATCCATTCATTAAGAGAGACAATTCAGACAAGTATTTAGTTTTAAACAATCAGAAACAAAGGAGGAAAAAACAAAAAACAAAGAAGCTTAAACATAAAAAACAAAAAAAGTCTTGATTTAACATCGACTTTTTTCCAGGTGCTACAAATTCTGAGATTTCTTCACTTCACAAATACATCGTCATATCTCCAGAATAGATGAAACATCATGTTACCATCAGCTGTTGGCAGGCCGGTTGGACTGAAACAGGTCTGAAATCACTTCCATCATCAGTGAGGTATTGGAAACAGATGGAGGCCAAAGAAAACAATGCAGACGATTGGACAAAACGGGAGATAGAGGGGGCTATTATTTCAAACACTCACACATGCACACACACACAGGATTGAAAAAGGAAAATTATGAGCGTGTCCGCAGAAATGAGTCAACATCTAATGGAAACAAATTGAGTGTTTTCCATGAAGTCAGCACCATCAAACACAACTGATACAGAAAACAAGTGACATCAAGCAAAAGGCCTTTTTTTTGTCCTTTTCTGCATAAAACCAAAGGTATAATGTAACTAAGTACATTTAAACAAGTAGAGTCAGCACCTCCAAATCTGAGGCCATCACTCTCTGCCCGAAACTGGTGGATTGCCCCCTCTGGGTTGGGGACAGTTACTGCCTCAAACAAAAAAGTTTAAGTATCTCAGAGTCTTCTTCACGAGTGAAGGTGGAATGGAGCGTGAGATGGATCGGCGGTTTAGTGTGACTTCTGCAGTGACGATGCCACTGCGCTGGACACGTAAAAAAGAGGAAGCTGAACCGGAAGGCGAAGCTTTCAGTTTACTGGTCCATCTACATTCCAACCCTCACCTATAGTCATGAGCTCTGGGTAGTGACCGCAAGAATGAGATCGCAGATACAAATGGCCGAAATTAGTTTCCTCCGTGGGGTGTCTGGGCTCAGCCTTAGAGATATGATAAGGAGCTCGGACATCTGGACTACATTTGTCTGACAGCTTTAGTTACCGATCAGATGACAGTTTTTCCATCCCCTTCCTGTCCATTGAAAACCATGTATCTCCAGATGTGTTGATGTTGAATGTTTGTGATAAACTGAGAGATGAAGTGTTCCTCTATGTGTTGAAAAACATTCCTCTTCCTCTTAAGCTGAATAAACTCTTAAAAAAAAACTCTCTTGAATCAGCTGGAAAATGAAATCTCACAAAGCTTCTGACACCATTGGACCTGCAAGAGATGAGGCACGATGTGATCTTGTGGGGTAGAACATGCTCCTGGATCAACATCCTACATCGCATTCCTGGATTAACATTGCAATCAACCAATCACAGCCCTCTGACATCATCAGTGTGCTGCTCCATCTTATGGTGGCCAATGTTTAAAGTTGCATATTCATTTTTTGGGGGCTCTTGAGGCAGCGGAACAAGCTGAAAACATAACTGTAGCGGTTAGGCTCAAGCTCAAAGCCACTGAGGGGCTGCATAGACAGGTCACTTACTAATTGACGCACTTGCCTGACCTAACCGACCACTGCTCATCAGGTAAAAACAAAGAGTCCACTTCTTCTTCCTCTTTGATGCATAATTAATTTAGTGACAAATGTGTTAGTAAGCAGTCCCTTATTTACTCATTTAGCAGATGGAAAGCAACGCTAGCATTTATTAATGTCCTGTTTCTCATCTTGTTTTTGTACTTCAATGAATGAGTGCAATACTCTTTCTCTTTTAGCTCTGTTTTTGGTCTCCACCACCTCCTGAGGGAAATATCTGTCTCTTTAGCTGCTAAATGCTCCACCATGTTCACCAGCTAGTCTCTTACTGTGCCTATCTGCTGTTTGCTGCTGAGCAGGTAGTGTGCAGTTGCTTCTTACAGCTTTTTCT